TAGACCACAGTTTATGAACCATTTCCATATGCCACTAGAAAACTGAAGACTCCAGACTTCATTTATTGTGCTCATTCATGACCAAACAAGTCATGAGATATTGGACCTTAAGATTTCAACATTCTGATTGCTATCTGGCCCACACTTTTATTGACCTACTTAAAATGACTTTTTATTTTTAACCACTGATGTTCCACAAACGGAGGGCCTTGGAAAGCTGTGATTCCAAGTTGCTCTCATTGGTTTCTGCTTCTAGCAATTCTCAGCATTACAACTCCTAAACCGCTTTATTAGAGTGGAAGAAAAGCCAAGATGGTAATTGGAGTGGCATTTTAATATTGGATATCTCTCCATCTGCTAGTGTAAGTAACCGTTGGCAGAGTAGTATGAAAACTTTTCAGTACCGTGAACATTTCCAAGAAATGGCCCTGGGCCAGTGACCAGAAGAAAATTTTAGTCCCTGGACACACACTGTAAGTGGACAGCATGTTATCCATAAAAGCAGGTAGCTAAACATTACTTCATATAGCTAATTCACAAGTACAATAGGACAAGTTGAGAATAATCACTTATGTATGGACTGCTTTTGCCAGTGACTCTGTAAATGGCTTGACACAATCTTTGGCCAATTGGATCTTTGCCCCATGTTAGTAGTAATGTATTTAGATAGATGCCCATTTCCATTGGTTGCAGTAGTAGGTGGAATGGGTGAAGGGGAGGGTCTTTACTAATGCAAGATTCGAGATTGGTATTTACTATGCAGGGGGTGGTGCTTTATTGGTATATTTAGTAATAGTCAATTGTAGGTGATTTGATGGATTCAATTTGTTTGGCAATGGCCACTTGCTGTATATTTTCAAGGTGTTAAATGTGCTGTGCTATGCTAAGATTTCCCAGTCAGTTTAGGCTCCCTAGTTTTGTTCGGTGACAGGAATGTAATAGACGCTTTTTTTTTTTAATTGTTTACTGTGTATGTCTGATTGAATTCTTCTCTAGTTCAGAGTCTGAGATTAGCAGTGTGCTGTTTCCTTGTCAAGATAGAATGGCCATTTTTTTTCCTGTGCCTTCTGTGTTGTATTATGTAGGAGACATCGCATGTTAGGACGTGGAGTGAAGCCATGTTCAGTGAATTCTGACTGAGAGAGAACTTTAAAAGAACAATCTGTATTGCAAACTCCAGTTTGTATAAATGGGACTGTTTCAGGCAAGATTGGTGAAATTTACATTCGCATTGGGTGTGAAAATGGTCTAATCCACTGTTTAGTTCAATATGCAGAATTATTAAAGTCTCACCAACCTGTTCAGGAAAAGGTTTCGTGTCTCATATCAATAATGGAGAATGTCCAATTTTTAATCCAGTATTCCACTGAGCATCTTTTTTGCATTTAATTTGAGATATTTTTGGAGGACCTACCAAGGTTAAAGAGTGGGTTCTTCCAGCATCTGCTGTAACACTTAAAGTAATGGTTTGTATGCAATAATAATGATTAACAGTGCAAAAAAGGCAATAAATATTCCTCTTCTATATCTGGAAAGTAGCTGGACAGTGCATTAATATCTCTCTATTGCTACAGTAACTAGAGTGGACATTTAACTTTAGTAGATGCAATTTGAAATTTTAAAATCTGCAGGACCAGATAACTTGCACCTAAGAGTTTCAAAAGAATTGCCTAAAAAAATATGAGATATTAATGTTGATTTTTTTTAACAAATCTTGGCGCACTGAGGAAGTTCCAGAGGACATAAAAAAACTAATGCTGTATTAGTATTTTAAAAGGGTAAACAGAATAAACCGGTTAGCCTAACATTAATCCAAGACATAATCATGGGTCATCTGATATGGGAGGAGAACAGAAAAGAATTGAAGAATAGTTGCAGAATTGGAAAAGTTCAGCAAAAAGCTACAAGAATGATCCATGGTCTGGTAACTTGCCGTATGGTAAGAGACCAGCTGAATCTATGTAGCTTATCAAAAGGAAGGTTAAGTGGTGACTTGATCACACTCTGTGGGTACGTCCACACAGGGATAAAAAAATCTGCAGCTGGCCCAGGTCAGCTGACTTGAGCTTGCAGGGCTCGGATTCTGGGCTGAAAAATTGCTATGTAGATGTCAGGGCTCAGGTGGGAACCTGAGCTCTGGGATCCTATGTGGGTGTAGGGTCCCAGAGCTCAAGTGTCATCCCAAGCCTGAATGTCTACACAGCAGTTTCTAGCCCCACAAACTAGGCCCCAGCCATGGCTGTGCCGCAGGTCTTTTATCTTTGTGTAGACATACCCTATAGGTACCTACGTAGGGAGAGGATTTCTTTTACTAAAGGGCTCTGTAATATGGTGAACAAAAACATGGAATGATCTCGTGCCTGGAAGCTGAAGCTAGCCAAATTTAGACTGGAAAAAAGTTACAGATATTTAACAATGAGTAATTATTGGAACAGCTTACTTAGGGATATTGTGAATTTTCCACCACTCAGAGTTTTAAAATCAAATTGGATATGGTTTAAAAACATGCTCTGGCTCAACCAGAAGTTTATAGATTTGTACATTTTTAAGGCTGGAAGGGACCATTGTGATCATCTAGTCTGACCTGGATTGTTGGTACCAGAGGCTCAGTGGCATGGGGATCTTGGGGAGCCAAAAGGTACCGGAAGGAAGATACTGGACCCCTGAGATTTACCCACACCCCAGAAACAACTTCACTTACAGTCTGAGCCTTTCCCCTCTTTGCCTTCAGACTATTTACCTGTCAGGAGGCAGCGCTTTCGTCAGCCCTTAAGGAACTAATAGTGAGTGAAGATGGATCGGGGCTGGATTTTTCCATGGGGGTTCTGGGCCCACTGACAATGCAGTGCTGGGAAGGAGGGACGCTATCTCTCCATTGTGAGCTAGGACTCTAGAGTGGAGCAAATGCTGCGGCCCCTAGATTCCTACTACTCTCTGGCTCCCACTGACCATCCCTATTCCCTGCAAGGAGCCAGTAGTGGGAGGGTAGGCTGCACAGAGAGTAGAGGCAGGGGGGAGCTCATAGCATCTCTGTGCAGGGTTGTGGGACCAGCAGATGAAAAGAGTGGGCTAGTGTAAGGCTGTTGGCTGGATGATTGTGGGGTGAGTTTCTGCTGATCTGCACTGAGGACAGTTCTTACTTCTTTATGGAAAGGGAGTGGGGTAGGAAGGAGGGCATTTGTGGAGGAGGTTATGGAGGTACTGAAGAGGACAGTATTCTCAATACCTTAGTACACAGCAGAGAGGAACAACTGCAGTTCTCTAAAGGCCTGGATGCTGGATGTTGTCAGCTGGTTTCCTTGAGGAGGAAGCATCTCTGACTTGAGGTTGGTACTCTGCTCTGGGCCCCTGGTTTTCTCCCTTCCGTTGTGCAGGCCTGCTAGTCTTTAAGAACTTACGACTCTGCAAAGGGCAGTTATCAAGAAGAAGGGGAACTACTGGCAGCTCAAGAGACTGCTTCCTTCTCTGCGATGCAAAGCTCTCCCTTGGATTGCTTTGTTCTCTGACTCTCCCTATTAGGCAGCAGGGTCAGGATCCACTCTTTAAACAGTCCGTAGCATTTGTATCAGTGCAACTCTATGGATGAGTGAGACAAGCAGGATTTGGCCTTGCCTCACAGGCAGAGCTAGAATTAGAACTCCTGAGTTTCTGGCTTCCAGTCACATGCTCGGCCTACGATTAAGCGCACCGCTCCTGCTCCTCTTCCCCAAAGCTCATTGGTCCTCTGTTAAATCTCTTTAACAAGCAAACCTCAGCAGGGAGTGAATGCCACAACTATTCCTGTGGAGGTGATAGAACAGCTAGCGATGGGTGACTTGGCTTCCCTGCTGGCTTTGTTTTGTTTGGCTCTAGTAAACAATTTTTTAAAAAAAAATTCCAGATAATATGAATAAAATTAAGCCTCTTTCATTACTTACTGTTAATATGTCACTGTAAGATTTAAAGTGCTTTATGAAGGCTTTATTAGTGCAATAACATCTGTTCAGCCTTCCCTGAGCTACGTGAACAGTTGTGAACTATTGCATGCCTTTGTTGATTGGATAATTTTTTCCCCTTTCCTTTTCCCCACAATATTTGTCAGTAATGAGACTCAAACACTTGATCTTTTTACTGTATGTGTGTGTGTTTGTGTTTGCATTTCTTGGAAGGGAAGTTTATGACCAAAAATTCCCAAGCAGAATTTCTAGAGCACTGTATCTTTTGTTTTCCTTCTTTTTGCATATATCCTTTAAGCCTAGCTGGGGGGTTTACAGTAAGAACAGTATCTGGAAATTCTGCTCCCGAATAACTGCATCATCTGTACTCTTGGATTGCAAAGCAGAGCAAAACCAAAGTGTTTAGGAGCATATCACAAAACCCAGCTTGCATAACTAGCCACAATGGATAGCTTGTTCTTTGCTCAGTAGAGGCCTGTCTCTACTTAATATTGTTTTGAGGAAGACAGTGTTAAGGTAAGAGAAGTTTCCGTTGCAGTTCTCTGCATTTTGCCCCAAGACAGAAATCCAAAGATCTAATGGAAGACTTTTTAAATTATCCTTTTCTTTTCTTTTCTTTAATAGGATGTTTCTTTTGTCTTTCGCGATAAGATAAGATTAGATAAGGCCCATAAAGAAACACTGTCACACTAGTTGATTTATCTTTGTTTCAAAGAAGAAAAATCCCTTACGTCAACTTTGGGGGTGGGGGAACTACATGTGACGTGAATAATATATTGTTACTGAGGCCCCAAGTTTTCCAAGATGACAAGGAATTCACCCCTGCTGCAGAATTAGGCCCTGGATTCCAATTATGCCATTTAAATGATCTTTCGTGAAGTTATATTTTGGGGCCTAAACAGGTTGACTTTTTTGTTTGTTTGGTGGGGGCTTTTTTCCTTTCAGAGTGTATGCTTTAATCATTTACCATCAAAGTATTTGGATTAACTCTGGTTAATTTAGAAGAAAAATCAAAGTGTTATTGGTAAACGTTTAATGTTAAGGCTCGCTCTTTTTCTCTTGCAGTGGAATCTGGTATGTGACGATGACTGGAAAGCTCCCTTAACTACCTCCTTGTTTTTTGTGGGTGTTCTGGTTGGATCCTTTATATCAGGACAACTCTCAGACAAGTAAAGTATATACACCAAAACTTATAGTTATCTATCTCTGATTTTCTAAAAGCACACTTAAAAAATTAAATGAGCCAGTGGTGAATGCCTGACCTGTTCAAACTGTAGCAAAGTGGATATACTCTTAGGTTGGGCCAACACTGATGAGAAATGGTCACCAAAAACACTATGGTTATAGCGTTGATACTAACAACGAGAGCACTAATGTGGATTGACTGCCGGCATTTTTACCCCAGACAATCTAATCTCATTGTAGACAGAGCCTTAGCCTGGCATAAAGTCAGCTACCCTAATCAAAGCAAAATACTATTATGGGGCTTATATTTTTTTCCCAAAAGCCTTTTTTCTGTATTTCAAGTCTTTTTGCAGCCACAAATTAAAACAGGCAGTAACAATTGTTGGGTAGGTTACATAGAACTCAGACCTCTCACTGCCTGATGTGTTGGAGGAAAATTATGGGCTGCTACTGAAAAAATCAGGCCAATGTTGTACTATTTGATTTAACGTGGACTATCTCTTGTTATGGGTACTTACCGCAAACATGTTTTCCTTTCTCTAGCTCAGTTCAATAACTCCCTTTGTACAAGCTTTCATAGTTTCTGTTGTACCCTATGTGGTCAGATTTAAGGTCTAAGTCCAGTAGTTTGTGTTTGTGGAAGCTAGAAAACACGAATACTGTTCACCAATCTCTAATAAAGTGGCTTATTGACCTAGCTACTAGAACCATGGGCTGTCTTGTTTATCAGCACCAGGGTGAAAACAAAATGGAAGCATTCTTGTATTTGAAAAACCCAGTTTTTTTAGTTTCTTGCATTTCAAAATATCTGAGATCTAATGTGCAATACATTATGTGGCATCTACCTGGTTTCCAGTGAAATCACGTGCCACCCTTCTACTTTTCTGATTTAATAGTAGTACTCATACATGTTTAATGTCTGGTCTTTTGGGGCCAAATCCTGAAGTTCTTACTTGGACGAAGCGCCCGCAAGGATTTAATAGTTTGCCTGAGTAAGGTATTTAGAATCCATCCCTCTCTTCTTACAACAGGGAGGGACTCTGTTGTCGGGCTGTTTAGGAGTGTTTCATCATGCACTATTAGGGTATGTGTATGCTGTGATAAAACCCCACCACACCAAGTCTCAGAGGCTGGGTCAGCTGACGTGGACTCATGGGGCTTGGAGTGCAGGGTTAAAAATAGCAGTTTAGGCCTTTGGATTTGGGCTGGAGCCTAGGCTCAGAGACCCTTACCCTAAGACACCGCAAGAGGGAATGTCTACACTGCAGTTAGACACTCATGGCTGGCCTGGGCAACCTGACTCGGGCTAAGGGGCTGTTTAACTGCAGTGTAGATGTTCTGGATCTGGCTGGAAACAGGCTCTGGAACCTTCCCACGTCAAGGGTCTGAGACATCCACAACATCTACATCACAATTAAATAGCCCTTTAGCCTGAGTCTCCTGAACCTGAGTCAGCTGGCACAGGCCAGGCATGGGTTTTTACCTGCAGTGTAGACATGCCCTTAGATTCCAGGCTCTAGTGCAAGCCTAAACATCTTCGCTGCAATTTTATAGCCCTGCAGATTGAGTCCTGTGAGCCTGAATCCGGGCCATCCACAGCCCTCATCCGGGCCATCCACAGCCCTGCTGTGTGTCTTTTATTGCAGTGTAGACATACCTTTAGGTTATGACAATCCTGAAGCTAGATTCAGCTCTCTTGCTACCTTAATGATTCCCGAGGAAACATTGCTAAGGAGCCCAGAAACATAACCACTGGTATAGGTACAGAGTGTCTCTTCCAAATGCTAATGTGATTATTGTACCGAAGCAGGCATGATGGACAGCCACACGTTGTCCCAGGAGAGACTAGTTTGGCATAGTTTTGCTCCCAGGGGATTTCTCCTTTATGATATGTTTTACACTCTAGCGCCATCAAGCAGTGTGCCTCAGAAACAGTGTTGCAGACATGTTGGAATCTGCCTTCCTCCTACAGAGCAGGCAGATAATAATCTGAGAGGCAAGAGTAATGGAGTAAATGGAGAAATAGCAGCTCAGAATGGATTGGTGAGGAAAGGCCTTTTTCTGGTTCATCTGTGCATCTTATCCCTCCAATCTGTCGAAGTCTTATACTGCACTTTGTGGTATCTGGTCACCATTGTTGTCACTCTCTTGACCAAGTTTAATTTTGAAGTAGGGTTACATGAAATCTGTGTTAAGCAGGATTCCCTGCATCAAAGTACATTGTCTGGTACTCTGCTCCTTGAATAGTCCCATTGGAAATCAGTTAGGTTAGTCACAGAGCAAGGTACTCCTCAGTGTAACTGAGTAAGGTTTGCAGAATTGGGGCCCTTAATGACTATAGACTGGCACGGGGCCAGAGTTTTTCCTCTTCAAAAGACTCCACTTCTCTGCCTTGTGTTTACTGTCCCACTCTGGGGCATGGAAGAAAGCACTACTTTTGAGTCACTGACCCCTCATATTTTGCATTTTAGCGATAATTCACTTTCTAGGTGTTTGCACTTGTCCACACCCATTCCATCATCCCTGAAAAGAGAACCTCCCACCACATTCTCAAAGAAATCTCTTAAGGTACATCTGCACCACAGCTGGTAGCATGCTTCCCAGTGTGGAAAGACAGACAGACACGTGCTAGATCTGCTCAAGCTAGCATGCTAAAAATGGTGGTGTGGGCATGCCAGCAGCTTGGGCTAGCTGCCTCAGTAAAATCACATCTGTTGCCAGCGTACTCGCCCAAGACAATGCAACCACGGTTATTTTTAGCAGTGAGCAGAGCTAGCATGTGCCTGTCTACCCAGTCTGAGAAGCGAGCTCCTAGTGTAGACATACCCCGAATTGCAGCACATAAAATTCTTCCACTTTTGGAGTGGAATTTTTAGCTTGTCTGAAATATTTGTTTACTTGTTCCACTTTCTGAGACATTTTTTTCGTTATAAAGACCCCCTATGTGCAAAACTAATTTACTGATCTTGCTGTTATTTTCATGACTGTTTCTTATGTAACCCTTTCATTTTTGTCTTTGTTCACGAAAGGTTTGGCAGGAAGAAAGTTCTGTTTGCGACCCTGGGGGTGCAAACCTGCTTCAGCTTCCTGCAGGTCTTCTGTAGCAGCTGGGAGATGTTTTCAGTGCTCTTTGTCATCGTCGGCATGGGACAGATCTCTAACTATGTGGCAGCTTTTGTACTTGGTATGGGAGTTTGTTATGCATAGCACATTTTCAGTGTTGTTGTTTCCCCTGCTCTCCTCATTTACTAATGGTTTGTTTTTTTATTTTTTCCCAAGCAGCACTGTTAATAAGAATATAACCTTACCAAGCATGGCTAACTCCTAATCCATTTGAAAATTTTCCTTTTAGTAAAATAGCCACACATCAAAATAAAATGCTTTGTTTACCAAATACTTAAATGAGCAAAGGGAGTAAATCAGAACAAGTCTTTATCTGAAGCAAGATCTCTCCAGTGAGAAGATGCAGTTAGATGCACACTCATAGTCATATGTTGGAAGACGTGTAGAATGAGTTGTGCCCAGTTGCTCTGGTGAACTGCAGTTTGGATCCAAACACATGCAAATTGTACATATGATATTGTAATTTTTAATTGTGATTAAACATGTAAGCACAACTTAAGACTTCTTAAAACAATCTGTGATAAAAGTTAAACTGTCACATGGATTCTGTCATTGCATCCATTCTATGATAGCTAAGCAAAGGTGTCTGATTGGAGGACAAGTAAGACTGACTATGAATCTGTTTAAGAGAGATCTCTGAATGCTTTTGTTTTAAAAAGCAACTTCACTGTCTAGAGCACTGAATTCTTTGTGGCCATAACAAAGCCCAGAACAGTTCTGAAAATGGTGTTTAGCTAATTGCTGCAGCAGGCAAAAAACGTGGTTTATTGTTGTAGGTTTTACCAGACTGGTGCCTTTTGGTGTGAGTCCTTTTGGAATCCAGAAGGCTTTTACTCATTGAGTTAGAACAATTTTAGGGTCTAATCACATAGTTTTTATTCATAAAATTACTACCTTTTGGTGCAGAATCAGGCCCTAAGATAGATCTGGCAGCGCCTCTTTAAAACAGGAAAAACTGCAACTGATATAGTGCTAACAATTGTAGCATGTGTGAGGAACAGTTTTGCTAAAAGTAGCATCCGTTCTTGTATAGTGGTAAAATATTTGGCTGCTATTATTTCTGATAAGTTAAAATGCTAATCCACATTCTCTTGTTTTGAACAGGCACAGAAATTCTTGGCAAAACAGTTCGTGTTATATTCTGCACACTAGGCGTTTGCATATTTTATGCAATGGGCTACATGTTGCTGCCGCTGTGCGCGTACTTCATCAGAGGCTGGCGGACGCTGCTTCTGGCTCTTACTTTACCTGGGCTGCTTTGCATTCCACTGTGGTGGTGAGTGTAAATACTTTAAAAGATGTTTGGCTTCAGAAAGGTTCACCTACAGCTGACAGGGTTCAGACTTGAGGTTAACATAACAGAAATGTGGAATCTGATTCAATATTGGCCTTTAGCAAGAGGTTATGACTGAAACAGTATGAGTGTGTCTGACGTTTCTTTGGGGGTGTTTAATAGAATAATAGACAGTAGAAATCTTTAGTTTTCATTTCTTCTGCCAGATTTTGCCATTGTAGTACAGAATCTTAAATTTCCTTTTTAAAAAATATCTTTAAAAAAATGTATAAAACTACTTTTAAATTTAGGGCTGTCTGGCTGTGAAATTAAGGTTGATTCTTGTCTCAATAGCTCTGGATTTACACTGATGTAACTATGCTGGCTTCATACCAATAGCTGAGATTGGAAACTGGTCTATAAGTGTCATAGAAACACCCAAGTCCTACCTACACTTAAAGCTTCCACCAGTAGTACCGCATCAGGGGAGAATTACTGCTCTGAAGTTGGTTAACGTGGACCTGTGGTTTTCAACCTGTGGTCCCCGGCTCCCTGGGGTCTGCAGACTATGTCTAAGGGATCCGTGAAAGGTGACTATGAAAATAAAGTTTCAGGTCCCAAAAAAGGCATTCCGTTTTTCTTACCAATCAAAAGTATGTGAATAACCCCACCGACAGGTCAAAACCCAGAAATATTATCATTACCATAGAAACCCACAGTTAGCCCTTCCTCATGTTGTGTCAAATGTCATGCCAAGCAGGTGCAACATTTATAGTTGAATTGTATTCAGTCAATTTTCAGCCTGGTGACTGAACTTTGTGACTTTGTCCATACCCATAACTATTTCACGTTTGGGGACAATGTATACCTTCAGATCAGCGGCGCTGCTATGGGTACCCGCATAGCCCCACAGTATGCCAACATTTTTATGGCTGACTTAGAACAACGCTTCCTCAGCTCTCGTCCCCTAAAGCCCCTGCTCTACTTGCGCGATATTGATGACATCTTCATCATCTGGACCCATGGAAAAGAAGCCCTTGAGGAATTCCACCATGATTTCAACAACTTCCATCCCACCATCAACCTCAGCCTGGTCCAGTCCACACAAGAGATCCACTTCCTGGACACTACAGTGCTAATAAACAATGGTCACATAAACACCATCCTATACTGGAAACCTACTGACCGCTATTCCTACCTGCATGCCTCCAGCTTTCACCCTGACCACACCACACGATCCATCGTCTACAGCCAAGCTCTGCGATACAACCGCATTTGCTCCAACCCCTCAGACAGAGACAAACACCTACAAGATCTCTGTCAAGCTTTCTTACAACTACAATACCCGCCTGCGGAAGTGAAGAAACAGATTGATAGAGCCAGAAGAGTTCCCAGAAGTCACCTACTACAGGACAGGCCTAACAAAGAAAATAACAGAACGCCACTAGCCGTCACCTTCAGCCCCCAACTAAAACCCCTCCAACGCATTATTAAGGATCTACAACCTATCCTGAAGGATGACCCAACACTTTCACAAATCTTGGGAGACAGGCCAGTCCTTGCCTACAGACAGCCCCCCAACCTGAAGCAAATACTCACCAACAACCACATACCACACAACAGAACCACTAACCCAGGAACTTATCCTTGCAACAAAGCCCGTTGCCAACTGTGCCCAAATATCTATTCAGGGGACACCATCACAGGGCCTAATAACATCAGCCACACTATCAGAGGGTCGTTCACCTGCACATCCACCAATGTGATATATGCCATCATGTGCCAGCAATGTCCCTCTGCCATGTACATTGGTCAAACTGGACAGTCTCTACGTAAAAGAATAAATGGACACAAATCAGATGTCAAGAATTATAACATTCATAAACCAGTCGGAGAACACTTCAATCTCTCTGGTCACGCAATCACAGACATGAAGGTCGCTATCTTAAAACAAAAAAACTTCAAATCCAGACTCCAGCGAGAAACTGCTGAATTCATTTGCAAATTGGATACTATTAATTTAGGCTTAAATAGAGACTGGGAGTGGCTAAGTCATTATGCCAGGTAGCCTATTTCCCCTTGTTTTTTCCTACCCCCCCCCCCCAACGTTCTGGTTAAACTTGGATTTAAACTTGGAGAGTGGTCAGTTTGGATGAGCTATTGCCAGCGGGAGAGTGAGTTTGTGTGTGTGTCTGTGTCCCCGGGAAAAAGAAAAAGGGTGGGGGGTGAGAGAACCTGGATTTGTGCAGGAAATGGCTCACCTTGATTATCATGCACATTGTAGGGAGAGTGGTCACTTTGGATGGGCTATTACCAGCAGGAGAGTGAGTTTGTGTGTGTGTGGGGGGGGGGGGGCAGAGGGTGAGAAAACCTGGATTTGTGCTGGAAATGGCCCAACTTGATGATCACTTTAGATAAGCTATTACCAGCAGGACACTGGGGTGGGAGGAGGTATTGTTTCATGATCTCTGTGTGTATATAATGTCTGCTGCAGTTTCCACGGTATGCATCCGATGAAGTGAGCTGTAGCTCACGAAAGCTCATGCTCAAATAAATTGGTTAGTCTCTAAGGTGCCACAAGTACTCCTTTTCTTTTTGCGAATACAAACTAACACGGCTGTTACTCTGAAACCTTTCAGGATTCTAACTCTTACATTCCTGTCTGTATGCGTTGGTGTGTGCTTTTCCCCTTGTGACTCCAGGTTTAACTTGTTTGTCTTTCTTTGCATTTTGTTGTTTGGGATATTTTACAGATACATTGTTTGTTTGTCCATGAATGGAGTATACTAAAGTAAATATCGACTTATCAGTTTTAAATCTGTGTATAGTATCATCAGTCAAATAGCTACGTAAAAGGACTTACAGTCCAGATACACCCCCAGCCCTGACCCCTAAACCCCCCCTACACACACTCCAGCCCTCTGCCCTGACCCCTGCACCCCCCTACACACACCCCAGCTCTCTGCCCTGACTCCTGCACCCCCCTACACACACCCCAGCCCTGACTCCAGCACCCCCCCACACCCTATGCCCTGACTCCTGCACCCTCCTCACACACCTCCAGCCCCCTGCCCTGACTCCTGCACCCCCCCTTGCCAAACCATGGGCCAAGACTAAATAAAAACGCTATCTGTGTGCAGTCTGTGCAGCTGCAGTTTATGGGACACTGTCAGATCAAATTTTACCCAACATTTGGTTTTATTTTTAAAAAAAATTACTAGAAATGCTTCCATCAAATTGAACAAACAGTTCAATACAAACAAGCTTTACGGAATAAATTGTCATTCTCCTCTGCAGCGTTTGCAGCCTGAACAATGCAGCACTGTGCTAGTTTGTGAGAACCGAATATCGAAGTTGACCATGCTGGGTGATATGCGGTTTGTAGCAGGAACAAAATTAGAACTTTAAAATGTTAACTTTTAATAAACGTAATTATTTGTACCATAGGAAGGGAAATATTTTTCTCAGGACTATTCTGTCATCACTGCTGCTGTCAGGCAAACAAGGAATAAACAAAAAGCCATGTTAGTTCAAGGTCCATTAGAAATAATCAGTCAGATCCTAACCCCTGGCTTCCACCGCCTTTGCACTAGGTGGGGCTGATCAGGGGAGGAGAGTAGAAAGGTGGTGGAGAGCTATTTCCTACTCAAAACCTGCTCCAGAATCCTGTGCCTTGCTTTTTGAAAGGCCAGGTTTCGCCTAGCATTTTGGACACAAGGGAATGATTTGCTCCTTTTCCCATTGAAGTCCATGGACTTTATTGAGAGTAGGATCAAGCTAAGAAAGGCAGAACTAGAGACCACTGGTAGCTGGGAGATGAGTTGGGATTGAGGTCTGTGGAACTTTTATTCAGAAAAAGTAGCATTTGGGCATCTATATGATTTCAGAATTTTCCTCCACTGAATACTGTTTTTATGGAATACGATAATCCTTAATAGTCCACAAGGTGGAGCTACTTCTCTTCCTACATAGTAGAAAGTACAATACATAATTGAGTCGACTTTCTCTTGTGAAGGCAGCTTGTGTATAGGTGTCTCATCCCATACTGATATCTACAGTTGTTAACTTATATGTATCACTGTCCAAATGTTACCCACCTACAGCACAATGTCATGTGCACAGTTTCACACTGCCTTCGTTTCTTTTGATAAAACATTTTCTTCCTGTACTTCGCAAGTTTGATTTGTAGCTTAACTTTTTAGTCCCTTTTAAGTCCATGAACAAATTTCAATCTGTTTTTCACAGTATATGCTCATCTGCTTTGCATAAATGTGTGTTGTGTTTTTGTTTTTAATCACTGCAAGGTACATTACATTTTAAACTATTTATGCCTGTGGCGATAGGTATGTGTGTCTTTGCAGCCGTGGTCAGTGTGGAAATGCAGACGTTGTTGTTCTGAAACTTGTTGCAGGGTCATTCCAGAATCTCCCCGGTGGCTGATCTCTCAAGGAAGGTTACAAGAGGCAGAAATCATCATCCGAAAGGCTGCAAAAACAAATGGTATTACAGCCCCAGATGTAATATTTAATCCTATGGAGGTAAACTTTCATGTGTATTAAAACTGTCTACCTGATCCTCCCTATAACGTCCTAGGCACTTTCCAAACAGATGTTCACCCCATATCCTTCCTCTTCGTAAATCTTCTGAACCTCCTGTGACTTCCATTCCAGGAGCACTCCAGCCAGAAAGAAAACACATCTCTGTGTTCTGCATTGTACCTGTTTGTGCCTTTTTGATTGTAGTCTCTTTAGGGCAGGCTCTTTAATTTGCTTCACAGTTTACTTGTTACTCTGTGGCTTGTACATACCCTGCACTAAGTAGACTATCTGAAATGCTGTCTTCTCCTCTGTAATGCAGTAAATCTTCTCCCCCTCATGAGAATGGACTCTGCTTCTTTATATGAGACAGCTGACACATGCCTGTGAATTCTCACTTCTCAGAGTGCTGGAGCCTGGCCATATGGTGGGGAGATTCCTGAGATATCATATAAGATGGACTTCGCTTTCAAATTTCCTCCAGCCATTGATTTTTGAATGTAAAGATCGTTGTCCCAGATACAGATGTAAAGCCCCCCCCCCCCCAATGGTGAAACAGAATAAGAGAGCAGATAGCAAACAGGCAAAAACCTGGCCTTAAACTAAAGGGATGAATGAAAACCCATGGATCCCTACATGCTATTTAGGACCATTCCTAGAGAAAGAGAGCCCTACTCAAATTATTTGAGGACTTCCCCTCAAAACTAAAGTCTAGCTATTTGTTTTAGTATTATACAGCTCTTATGTGGTCAGGGCTCTATCTTCCCTGAATAGGACCAAACCCAAAAGTCTGCCAATGTCACTGGGGGCTGGTGCTGAATGTTAAAGGGAGAGACTGTAACTCCTCAGATTGTAAGCACTTCATTGCAGGGATTGGGTCTACCTCTGTGCTTGTATAGTGTCCAGTCCAGCACAGTCCTGATCCTGGTCAGGACCTCTGGGTATTGCTGTAATATAAATATATCCAAGCTCAGCATTACTCTCAAAACCCTTTAGGGCGGAGTCGTCATTATGCACTGCTTTCCTCTTTCTTCTTCCCTCAGCCCCACCAATATTCTCCCCCCACTCCTGGAAGTTTTCTTTCTGTCTGAGCTGGGCTAAAACAATGTAGGATTTGAGGTGGGAAAAATGTGTTAATATCCAAACTTGTCTCACTTTTGGAGGTCCCACGAGCCCATTTGGGTGCCACTGATTCTGGAGGATGAGGGACTCCTGGACTCTGTTCGGTTAAGGAGCAGTAGGGTTTCAGATTAGAGAGTTACATTCAAAGCATCATTTCTATCTCCTAGCAAATGACCGGCCTTCTCAGCCACTCCCATACCTTCCTTCTGGGACCTGCCCCATCGAGGATTTCATTGTCTGTGTATCCAGCTACTAATGGGCAGAGCCTCTTCTCACAGATAGCAACTGTTAGAACTTACACTATGTTCCTGTTTTTAAGTTTCCTGTTTGTTGATTTCTTGGCAGCTAATGGTGACACAACTGTATAGTTCTTAATAAAGATCATATGATTTACAAGAAAGGGTGGAGAGCTGCACTGCTGCAAGCAGTTGACACGTGACATATATGTCTTTAGGGGGCAGCACATTTTCAGGAAAACAAAAGCTCTAGTTCTTAATGCTACTAAAAATGTCAGGCTTTTTTTAACAGACTATGATTTATAAAAACAACAAAAGGACCCTGCGAGGTGATGAGCTCCACAGCTTGGGCTGCAGCCGAAGCCCAAATGTCTCCACCACAATTAAACAGCCTCTTAGCCCGAACCCCATGAGCCCGAGTCAGCTGTGACGGGCCAGCTGCAGGTGTCTGATTGCTATGTAGACGTACCCTCAGAAATAGTGTACATTCACCCACAGTAGCTTTATCAGCCTTATTGAAAAGCTGGACTCACACTAGATCAGATACAATTTACAGCACATTGGTGAGGGTTTTTTGGTGTTGAGGGGTGAAGTTTAGGGCTGTTGTTCAAATTAGTAATTCTTATTCATGCAAGTAGTTTCTTTGATTTCAGTGGGACACATTCTGTGTATAAGGATTCCTCACATTGGAGGCAGTTCTGCCACCATTTTTCATGTAGAAAGTACTTTACTCCACTATTTTTCCCGTTGAAGTCAATGAAACTTCTTTCGCAGTAAGGTAATATTCTGCGAGTAAGGGTGGCAGATTCAGGCCCAGTAAGATTGCAGGATTAGGCACTATGTAACTTTTGACAGTTTATTAGGGTCAGAAGCTCCAATGCAGTTGGCTTATAGGGACTTGATTTGGTATTAAGTATTTTATACATTCTTACATTGAGAACTAGGGAATGCGGTGTGTGTAGCTACTGTTACAACAGCCTCAAAGATAACACATTCCTTCCATTCTCTGCATGTGCAAACCTCACATTTATTTACATGCATTTCTATGCTTCAGCTGCAATTTAATCTCAGAATGACCTAGCTGAAAAGGATGTGGACAAACCAGGCATTTCCTCTATCTCCAGGAACCAGCTTGTTGTAAAAACAAGAAATGTAGAACTGAGGCTGATCAGGAAATTGGTGTGGTGTATCACAATATAGGGTTGATCAGATGATAAAACCAGTGGTTGGATTGTCCAGCATACCTCTTGAGTGTTGATTTGTACGGATTAAAGTAGTGAATGTTGTACCCCTAAAGTAACCTAATGCTCTAGGAGAAAATGCTTCTAAACAAAAACTTCTGAAATTTACAGTAGCAGAGTATGCTATAACATCATCTGTCTAGTGCAAGTTAAAACTAGTGTTTGAAAGGTACTATTGAAGTGCCAAATATTGTTTAGTATTATTACTAACATGGTTAGGGGGTTCAAAGAACCAACATAAATTCTATCTTTAGAATTTGCTGTCCTCGGCCATTTTGAATTTAACTTGAGAGGAGAAAGGAACCTCCTACACAATTGTTTTTGCTTGCCTTCACTCAGTGTTAATCTCCACATATAGCAGTTTATGGAATGAAGCTAACGTGCAAAAAGCTCTTCTTATTGCAGTTGTAGAAATGGAAGTTTTCACCTTAACATAAATTGCCAGGGTGGATAACTATCATGATTAAAAATTAAATCAGATTGTTTCCGTGTTGATAGTTCTTTACTTCTCATTTCATAGTCGTGAATTGCTAAAGTGGATACTTGAACTTATTCCCTTATTTGATTTCCTAAAAAAAAGACCAGTCCAGCATTATTGTTACTTTGAGAACCACACAAACTCGGACATGAAATTGTGAAGTAAATACCTTGTGCTATATTTCCAACCAACACCATCTTCTGATGTATCAAACGCCCGCAAGTCAAGGATGCTGAAATGCTTCGACCAGGCTATTAAGCTCCATCAGGGTTTGCAGTTTGAAGTCAGTGGGACTTATGCTCCGAAGTCACTTACATGCTTTGGAAAATCCTTCCCTTAGATATTTAAATATAGGTTTAGGAGTCTAAAGTTAGTCAGAAAACATTAGTTCACAAATAACTTTTCTTTGTTAACACTGAAGCAATTTTGTTTTGAAGTGACAAAATTTGTAGCCAATAAAAGTAGTTTTGAGTAGAAATAGAATTTTACCCTCTGATACTGCAAACACTTGTGCAGATGTTTAACTGTAGTCACATGAGAAATTCCGTTGAAATCAAGGGACCATTAATGTAACTAAAGTTACATACCTGCTTAAGTGTTTGCAGGATCAGAGCCTTAACTTTCAATATTTTGTCTCTTGCTAATAGCAGTTTTGTTAAGAGACCCTACCAGTAATGACATTTTAAGAAAGCATTTTATAAATTAATTATAAATTTTAATTTAAAGTTGTAATAGCACAAATTTTCAAATTAGTTTTACAAAGCCTGAACAAGATTTAAATCAATGATTTTTTAAAAATCCTATGATTTAAATCAAGGGATTTAAATCATGTAAAAGACTACCACTTCTCTTAGTAGTTTGTTCCAATGGTTAATTATCCTCACTGTTAAAAATTTGTGCCTTTATTTATAATCACCCTGATTTAAATTTCTCTGCCCGTAAGGTGTCCTAAAGCCTCTCAAGATGTTTACTGCAGTCCATATTGCTCATTCAGAATAAACGTTTTGCAATACAGAATTGGCTGTATTGACAATGTGTCCATGTATTTTTCCCCTAGCTACAGGAAATGACTTCCCAGAAGCAGCAGAGGCACACCATTTTGGACCTAGTGAGGACCCAAAATATCCGATTTGTCACTATTTTGTCAGTGATTCTTTGGTAAGCAAAAGTATGCTCCTAGAACGCACGAATACAAAGGCCACTGAATGATAAGCACCTGCTGTTAGAAACTGCTGTGAAAAAAAAAATTAAGAAAAAAGGAGGCACAGACAAAGTTATTTTTATAAAGTTCAAAGGCCAGTAAACTTCTTGCTAATGCTACAAGATTCAGATTAAACAGGTTGGTTTTTCATTTAAGGATTACAAGAAGTGTCTTTTTTCAATAACTAATAAAAAAAGACTTGTGAGAAGAGCGAATATTGACCAGTGTCGAATATTGACCTGTGTGTTCTCACTGCTCTTGAACTTCTTGCAGGGATGTCTGCTGCCATTGTAAAAAGTGCATGGCCCACTCTGCCCTCCAACTTCACTTCCAGCAGCCACCATAGAGTATCTCTTAATAACTTGGAAAAACTAGCTGGCATCTCCTGCCCTATAAATAATGTGTTCTGTATGTTTCGGGTATTAGTACTAGGAATAGTATAGTATAGGGTAGCTGCAAATAAAGGGGTGCATAACCCACCACACATCTCAAACTATATGAGATGAGTCTGTTGCCTCTGAACAAGTGAGAGCCCCCTAATCAAATCCCTTTGCCAGACTCAAGGAGGTAGGGCGGAAGTCTGAGGCCTGGTCATCACATAGTGTGTAAATCCCCCTACAAGAATGTTCTTTGAGCATCCATATCTGAGCATTAAGCTTTTCCAACATGACAGCCTAATGCAAACTGCATTGGCAGAGGGTGGCTGGTCTAGATTTGATGATGCCTTGAGCTCAGTAATAATTTTTGAAAGCACAGATTCGAATATATGGCAGAACAGCTGGGAATTCAGGATTCAAAGGGATCATTTGTGATAAGAACCATTCTTCTATCTCATTAAATTCTGCCAAACAATTATTGTTTGTAAATCATAGCTTAGGTTGCCAGGTCACACCAGAAAATCTGCATGGCTGTAGTGACTTAAATATTTCCTTCATCATGAGGCTTTTCCTGGTACCTTACAGATGGCACGTTTACATCTCCACAGGTGCACTGATAGCTTCTTATTTTGTTTTAAGCAATTGAACCATGAGCATTTTTTTGCTGTGCACGAACCCAGCAAGAAACAGATTGTCTTTTGGCAAACTCGTTGGTTATTTATTACGTGTGCAGTTAGCATTATAGGGCTTGACCTCCTTGAGGCTCTAGGCCAGGGATCGGCAACCTTTGGCACACGGCCAATCAGGGAAATCTGCTGGCGGGCCGGGACGGTTTGTTTCAGCCAATCGCAGCTCCCACTGGCTGCGGTTCGCTGTTCCAGGCCAGTAGGGGCTGCGGGAAGTGGCTTGGGCCGAGGGATGTGTTAGCTGCTGCTTCCCATTGCCCCCATTGGCCTGCAATGGCGAACTGCGCCCAGTGGGAGCTGCGATCGGCCGAACCTGCAGACAGTGCAGATAAACAAACCGTCCCGGCCCGCCAGCGGATTTTCCTGATGGGCCGCGCTCCAAAGGTTGCCAATCCCTGCTCTAGGTCTTGATAAATAATAATGATAAAGGTGAGAGCTCTGTGCCTATGTGATTCATTCAGAGATTTCCCAGTACAATAGCTGTGACCTCCTCATTTCTTTAATGGTTGTCTCTTGTTGGTGAAATGTAACCTTCCCTGGTCAATGTGTCTCAAGATATTCTAGTTCCCTAGTTCTTTACATGCTCTCTTGTTGCAGAGCCGCAGTGAAGTCCCAGTTTTCTTTTTCGGAGTACAGTTCTCTCAGCACAGAGCTCCCTCTCCCATTCCTTGTCTCTAGCTAATAATATCTACTGTAGGCCTCATTTTAATTTTGGAAACAGATTGAGTTCAGTTGTCTAGATTGTTACCTTTCATACTAAGACTGCTATTATTTATTAGTAGTAGTATGATTATTGTAATCACTCTAATATGGGTGCACTGCTGCCCTTTACTTGGTGCAATTGGAAATGTTCAGCTGTATGTTAGAAACTCTCTGCCAGCAACAATCAGAAGTTCTTCAGACAATGTAGCAGGGATCCAGTCTAAAAGTGACAAATGCATGAATCATTTTTGCTAGATCTGTATTGGAGAGAAATTGACATGGGCATCTCGTCAGTCAAAGGTAGCAGAAGCCATGTGTGGCCACTGTTGCTACAGGGGCAATAGTGAGGGTCCAGTAGATTGTGCTTACATGGACTCATGCATCAGCAGGGCTAACAAACGTCTCTGCAATCATCTAGTCAGATTGGATTCATTTTTAAACTCAATGGGAGTTTTTTGTTTTTTGTTTTTTTTAAAGTTGCTTTAAATTCAGGAAAAAATGGAAAGATCAATTCAGTATCTAGAAGGCCTTGTCTGAGTCTGTTACACCACTGTGTACAGCAATAAATCTACCTGATACTAGCTTCAAAGCTAAGAGAGCCTGGTAGGCACTGACATTCCCTACATAGGCAAATCAATTTTAATATTTTGCAGAGTAATTATGTGAGAGGCACTTGGCAGTCTGTGACCATAGGAGGCTGAGGGAGAGCAGGAACAAGTCTGTCTGTCTGTCTGTCTGATTCTTTCCTATTTTGTGTCTTTCAGGATGATAATCTCTGTAGGCTATTTTGGCCTCTCCCTTGACACTCCTAACCTGCATGGTGATGCCTATGTAAACTGCTTCCTCTCAGCGGTTATCGAAATTCCAGCCTATATTATAGCCTGGCTGCTTCTCCGAAATCTCCCCCGACGGTATTCGATGGCTGCTGCATTATTCTTGGGAGGCTGCGTCCTTCTCTTCATTCAGCTGGTCCCTCCATGTATGAACTTTTTAGCTGATATCAACCAGATTTTTTTAATGGGTAAATTCCAGTGCCTAGCACTGGACAGCTATGTGAAGTATTGTGGAGGAGAAGAATCTTTCTCCAGAGCTGTAGACCAAAAGCAGATTCTCCTTACCCATCCTTGCCCTTTCCCTCCACATCTGCTTGCTGCTGCACAGGGAGCTCATGTGACACAAGGGGTATGTCTACACTAGAGCTGCAATTGTAGTTTCCAGCTCGGGTAGACTTACCTGGGCTAGCTCTGATCGAGCTAGCATGCTAAAAATAGAAGCGCAGCTGTGGTAGCACAAGCAATGGGGCAGCCTAGAGGGATGGTATGATCATGTCTGAAACCCTAGGTACATACTCGAGGTAACTAGCCCCTCCTCCCACCCATGTTGCCATGGTTCCTCTTCTACTTTTAGCACACTAGCTCAATCAGAGCTAGCACAGGTATGTCTTCCTGGGGTGGAAATTACACCTTCAACTCTAATGTAGACATACCCAGTGTCAGACACATTCCTAAGCCTTTTCTTTCTCTAAAGTAAAGATAGTTTGTTCTCTATGGTCTGTTAAGATTCAGACTCTAGTCTGGTTTTGCCCTAATTTACACCCTGGTGTCCCAATAAATTCGTGGTGTGGGACAAGGTTTAGACCAAATGGAGTAGTCAATTGGGTGGCATGGATGGTACCAGGACCTGGCATAATCCTGCAGAACTTGTCTCCAGAAGAACCAATTGTCAATAATGTTTTTCCTACTTCGGTCTCATTAAGAACTTGAATTTCAGGAGAGCTATTATGTAGCCTTTGTGATAAATAACAATACTCAAAAGTGTAAGCAAGTGTAGATACTTTTTTAAAAAAGTGAATGTTTGCTAATTAAAAAATATTTGAAGGAAGGTATCTCATACTTAGAATCCGACCATTAAGTAGCCTTCTGCTAGGTACACTAGAGATTATCATACTGATCTGTTGATGGCTTTGACCATGTGCTTAGGGCTTGGTGTATAAGCATGTTATTGCAAATCAAAGAATAAATAAATGAAAGGGAGAACTGTCTTGCTTATTCTCCAAGAGTGACAGTGGGTTATATTATTTGCTACTCCTGATCTTTAAATCACCTGTACATTGGTATGTGTTTTATTACAAAGCTAATCCTACTAGCTAGGGTGAACCAGGATCTTAGAAATACATTGCCAATGTGTTTCTCCTTAAGCTGTCTCTCTGTTCTCAAACTTTATAGGTGACAGGACTGGATGACCTTAGGAGGAAGATTGTTTTATTAAGAGTCTTTATGTTAAAATGAATCAACCAAAAAACCCCAACACTGGAATTAAGTTGACAAGAAGCAAAAAATAAAAATGGGGTTAATAGTTTATTAAACTTGTTACAGTTTATTGATGTTCTGATTGGATCTCCCTTTCAGACCTTCATGTCCTGTCCATTATCTTGGTGATGCTGGGTAAATTTGGGATCACATCTTCCTTTTCAATGGTTTATGTTTACACTGCTGAGCTGTACCCAACAGTCGTGAGGAATATGGGAGTTGGAGCTAGTTCCATGGCCTCCAGATTGGGAAGCATCCTCTCACCTTATTTTGTTTACCTCGGTAAGATACCAGCTATTGTGTCTCCTGCTAGTATTGAAAACAAAATCGAACAAATGCAAGGGTAGGCTGATTTCTGTAACTGTGAACCAGTGCTTCAGTTAACCCGTGTTATGTCTGTATAGTCATGCTCTCGTCTTGCCTTGTAAAGTCCAGGCTTTGCCCTATATTTGTCACAGATTAGTCAACAAATATCCTATAACAGAATCACAGCTGCTTCTACTCTTCTCAGTGAGTAACCTTAGCTCACAGAAGGCATTTAGAAATTCTAACATTGCTCAATACTTTGTGGTTTGGAAACACAGAACTCAAAGAAATTATACCCATATAATAGGATCTGTATTTGGCCATTAGTTTCCTAAAGAACATTTGGCCTCAAAAAATCACTGAACAATGATCCTGACAGAGTATCTGTGTTTTAGAGTATCTCTTTGTTAGGCTTCTGAGGTGACATCTTATCAGGATGAATGGGGCAGTTCACTCTTCTCTCTTAGCTTTTTTTTTTTTTTCAGGCTGTCTGGAGACTCAGGGAAATGCCACTATGAACGAATTTTTACCATGTGAAACTTATCTTTGCAACCACGGGGACTAGTGACTTAACTTATTTTATAAAGTTTATATCTTGCAGCACAATGGTGCTGCAATTTAGACAGCTGTATGTTTGCGTTATACACAGGACTCAAATATTAACCACTGGTTCATCATGGTGGTGATGTAAACCTGATATCAGCATATCCTATGTTCTTTTAGGTGGCTATGACAGATTCCTACCTTACATCCTTATGGGAAGCCTGACTGTGCTGACGGGAGTCCTTACTCTGTTTCTCCCAGAAAGTTATGGCATGCCTCTCCCAGACACTATAGAGCAGATGCTGCTGGTTAAAGGGTAAGTGTTACCTTCTAATCTTCTCTCTCAAGAAAATTCTACCATCTCTGAGAAAAATATCTACATAAAATACAGTTCCCTCTTAGCTCTTTGGTCCCCAGCGGTCCTTTAGGGATGGTAAGCTAAAAAAAATTAAGATCTCAAATCAGCAATAGAATTGGCCAAATTGAATTCCACTGAGTTACAGCAAAGATGACTACCAGCAATATGCTGTGCCTACCATACATCATGCTGCTTGAAAGTTGTTCAGAAATTGGAGGGAGTTCTTAGAAGAACAAAAAGGAGTTGTAAGGATTAATGTACGAGAGACAACTGAACAAGCAAATAAAATGGAGCATGGGTAGGCATGTATAGTTTGTCTTTGATGGGTTTGCACAGGAGTCATTAAAGGAAGAATTTGGCCCTACTAATGGAATTTAATTGTGATTCTGTTGATGATTCATGAGCCTGAATAGAATCCAAGTCATTCTTTCAGAGTTGTGTGGCTCTGGGCGGCTCTGTGTGCATGAGTACACAGTGCCCACAGAAAATAAACGTGAAAAATGAGCTATTTTATGTAATCTTTTTAAGAGTATAACCACATTTAAGATATTTAACATAAACATCCTTAACATGTAGCAAACATGGTAAAAATGTTGAATTGTTGTTTCATAGTATGAAAGTTCATCATCCAAATAATTTCTCCTGATACGAGTATGGGTAGAAAGTCCCCTGGGTATCAGTTGGAGGTGTTCAGCACTTTCAAATCCCATGGAATTGCAAGGTCATTGAGAGTTTTCAGCACTTCATTTTCTGATTTAGGAAGATGCTTAAGCATGTGAGTCATCCCACTGACGTCAGTGGGCTTTTAAAGTAAAGCACATGCTTAGGTACTTTGCCAAATCAAGGCCCATATGGACAAACTTACATTTAGGATTTTGGAGGGTACTGTTTTAATTAGAAATTGCACTATTCATTGTTTTTCCTTGTTTACAGACTCAAGTACAGACATACATCTAATAGCACAAGGGTTTCAAAGGACGAAGAAGAAAGCCCAGTGATTCTTAAAAGCACGGCTTTTTGATGACACTACACTGTATACTTCACGATGGACCGAAAAGTAAACTGACTTTTCTTTTAATTTTCCTTCCAGAAAGGGCTAGTAGCAACACTTTGTGTCCTGTAATTATAAACTTATTTATTAAATGAAACACTGTTTTCAATACGTTCTTTTTATATGAAAGTAGATACTGTATATCCCTTCATGAGATCTCCATCCACAGTTGTTTAATGTGTCAAAAACACAGAACTCTGTTGGATAAACACAGTTTATAATTTTAAGAATGACTGACACACTTACTGTAGATCTCAATATCTGAAAGGTGCTTGTTACTGAGTGCTGATGGAGTGACTTCAGGCCTTAAGGAGCTTAAGATAACTCATGTTAACAAGAGTTAAAAATTGCCAGCTCTTTCCAAATTGTAAGAAAAAGCTGCCAGTGACACTGGATTTCTCGACATGCACAAACACACACATCTGCTCCCAGGCAGGGAGCTTGTTATAAAGTAACAAAGGTGGTGAAAATACCTGGCTTGGCAATTTTACATAAATCATACACAGGTGGCTTTGCACATGATTAATTCCTGAACAACTTCAGGGATGAAAAAAGAAAAACTTTGACAAATGAATTTGAAAATTTGACTTTATTTTAGCTGGAAATGTATTGAGAAGATTTTCTTGCACAAATCATTTGCAATATTGAAGCTTTGCTAGCAAAGTGATTCTGATTGTTTCAAATATCGTTTTAATATGACACAGGGTGAAGTTGTTTACATCTGATATTGGGGTGTGTCCTATTCCAGGTGCTTATTTATTTTTAAAACTATAAATAGGTTTCATCTGTGTTTCTTGTATCCTTTTAGGATACAGTATCCAAGCTAATCCTTCTAAGTCTTCTGTACAGTTTGATTGGGGGCAGTATGTCTATTTTCAAAACTTTCTATTTCCTCTTTTGTTCTTTTTTTGTCAGTTTCCTCACAATATGGAGGGCTAAATTCCACTCTCAGGCATACCCTGTGCACCTACATAGAATTGAATATGAGAGGGTTACATGGGTATAATTAAGATCAATATTTAGCCTCAAGTCCTGGCCATAAGCTCAACTAAGAGCCAAGAATGTCATTTTACATGTTCTGTTTTCTCACAAATATCATGAAATCGGTGAAATTTTTTTTAAAGAGCAAAACAAAGAAATCGTGTTGAAAATCTGCCAAGAGCCAATTCCTTTGATTACAGAAGCTGCCTTGGTAGCATTTGTGTTTCTTTCAGGAAAACTTCTGTTTCGTTCTCATTTGGACAATGCTGAAAGCACATTTCTTCACCCTGGGACAGGTTTAAGAAATGAATTTCATAAAGCATTCTGTGGTACTTTTTAATTTTTTTGGAGCGGTTTAATAAATAGAGTCTTACCTTTCAGTAATCAAAGCTGTTAGAGGCTTTTTTCTGGAAAAGCAGCTATTTACAAATGTTTAACGTTTTACGACAGTGTTAAATTTAGCAGCAGCTAATTATCTTGATAGCCAGGGTGCCTTATTCTCTCCCTCCAGACCATGCTGTAGCAACAGGTTTGGTAAGTGCCTCCTGCCTTATAGAAGTATGTTTTAGACCCTTCCTCTCTTTCTTGCCCTTACTGTGTGCATGCACGTTGCATGTGCTGTGTGTGCGTGAGCTGACCCTGATCTGATTCTGTAGTTCTGCCTGCCCACACCTAAAGGTGTGAGACTGTATGTACCTTATCCCTATCTATTAAATCTCTTATCAGATGTGCCATTGATATGTCTTTAATCATCGGATGGAAGTAACTAGAAGTTGGCAAGTGTTACTGTATTTTGGGGTATAGAACTGACAAATTATGCTGTGTAAAAGGGAACTGCAAGTAACATGCAGGGCCCCTATTAACTTTTAAAGGGAGATTTGTTGTTTCATGCTCCACCCTTCTACATTTCCTTGCCCTGTTAGGGCCATTATGAGATCTGGAGTGAGATTTGCAAAATTGACTCAGGTCAACACCATACTCTACACTGGTCTCAAATCATACACCACTGCCTTATAAAATCCACTTGGCAGGGACTTGTCACTCTGTCAAGTCAAATCGGCGACTCTTTTGAGTTTGCTTTCGTTAACTCTGGTTACAGTGTTTTGGCTATATTTGCATTTTCCCCTCCTAAGAATTGCACTTTGCAACATTCCTACCAGAAGGGCACAAACAGTCTCTTAGAGCATATGTCTACACTTCGCACTGGGGTGTAATGCCCAACTCTGGGAGACATGCCTGCGTTAGCAGGCAATAGGCTAGCCTGCTAAAAATAGAGGGTAGCTGCAGCAGTGCCCGTGGCAGAAGGGGCTAATGGCACCAAACACATGGAATTACACCTCGAGGTCAAGTGCAGACATAACCGACTTTCTGTGTCCTATGCATGAGAATCTGTTCAAAAATATAACTTAAAAGTCCACATGCTGTAAGACTTCAACAGATGCCTAATCTAAAACTGGAATTAACTCTTGGCCAAGGTCTGAATTTCCCTTAACACCCTTAACGTTTAGCTGTTACTTTCCTCCGCTGATTTATTCCATTATGTCACTTGACAATGAGATTTTCTTTCTTGAATTTTTAAATGTTCCAGTGTTTACTGAGCAATCTTAAGGACAATGGTTGAGCCAGCTGAACGGGGAATTTCTCAGTTGTGATGCAAGGCGGATATACCATGGCAATAACGAACAATTCTGATATCACAGCCTGTATTTTAATGCATATTAGTCTTCTAAAAATGGAAAATATAACACAAAATATCCTCTGTGCTTCTGCAGAGTGTATGGATATTAATATATTAATCTGATTCCCATTTGACAGTTTACCCCGTGCACTGTTTTCACAACTGGTTTTGTTAACGGGTGGCACTACCCACCTGGGTTATTTTTCTGTATGACTGAGTGGATTCTCTGATTTGAAAAGAATGCACTAATTTTAGTAAAATAGAAACCAGCTCAGAATCTAACTGAAATATTCCTCCTGTGTTCTTTTGGGGAGGTATGTTAATAAGATCAATGTGCAGGTGAAGAGAGTCACAGATAAAATCTAGACTAGAGGAACACGATTCAGGTAATCACTTTCAAACAGTGACATCAGTAATGGCAATAGAAGGTAAGGTCTGGAGGTGTTTAGCACAGTTAGAGATACTTGTAGAACATTTTGGTGGCACCATATTAGATCTAAACTTTGGCAGAGTTACTCTGAGTGCTACATGTTCAGACCTTTGTAGCGTCAGGACATAAACTCAGTAATAGTCTTTAAAGATTCTGTTGGCCTGTCACTTCTTTTTCGTGTTTTGTAGGTTGGGGTGGCATTGGGGCCTTCTGATCTGAACACATTTTTTCAAACTCAGGTTTTTGGAAATGCTCCATTCTTTCTAAAAAAGCCAACACGTAAATTTAATCGAAGCCTTCCTCCTTCCATGAATCACTTTCCAAACTAGAAAGACCACTATGAAAGTAACATTAGAACAGGGTCCTTTAGCACCAGGTAGAGTTCCAAGGTGAGGTCATCAAGGTGTTTTGTGTAATTCCATCTGCTATTATGTAAAGGCTTTTAAAATTGCACCGTGTTAAATTTTTACAAGTACATTAGTTAACAGCAGATATACTGTACAGAACATAAATATGTGGCTATAAAGAAGGCTTTAACTGTGCTTCAATTAATAACTGAGGGCCCTGTTCTGTCACCCTTACCTTAGTCTGTGAGTAGTCCTATTGTTTTCCAAGGATTAAGGTACTACTCATTGGAAGGGTGGCAGAATCTACCCCTGAATGAGGGGTTGTGCTAAGATGGTAAATTCACTGTAATATTTACACCAGGGCAGCATGCAAAATGGATTCAGGCTGTCTTCAATCTATAAAAGCTGGAAAATTCAGAATGGCTCATGCATTCTTTTCCTCATCCGCTAGGAATCACTGCCTGTATGTACATAAGATTCCTTGCTGATAGAGAACCCCCATCATCGCTATGAGAGACATGGCGTAGTGGTCATGAGCACAGGGCTAGGATCCAGGAATGCCCAAGTTCTAATTCCAGCTCTGAGACTGACTCCCTTCATTGTTTTGGACAAGTCACTTTGGCCTTGGTACCTCAGTTTCCCAGTATCTCCAGTAAAATGAAGATACCACCTCTCAAGGGGGTTGGAATTAATGAATGTTTGTGAAGAGTTATGTAAATGCTCAGGATGATTCTCTGCCATTTCTGAGCACTAGTTAGAATGTTTGGCTTTACTTCTGAATCTGGCTGGTTATTGTTCTGTAGCATCTGCTGCCAGCTGATCTCAGAGCACTTGTGATGTTAGCTTCACTAGTGCTGGTACATCTCTCTCTCCGTCCCCCCTTCACACCCCTAAATTACAGATTGGGAAAGAGAGGCACAAAGAGGAGGTGGCCAGGGCCCCACAGAAAGTCTGTTACAGAGCCAGGTTTAGAACCTGGGTTTTCTAGTCCCCAATCCTGTGCTTTCAGCCACAAACTCCTTCCTCGGTGCTATGTAAAACTGCACTTTCGAGAGGGCTTCCTTTTGAATGTAGGGCACATTTAAAATTTACAGGTTTCAGAGTAACAGCCGTGTTAGTCTGTATTCGCAAAAAGAAAAGGAGTACTTGTGGCACCTTAGAGACTAACCAATTTATTTGAGCATGAGCTTTCGTGAGCTACAGCTCTCATGCTCAAATAAATTGGTTAGTCTCTAAGGTGCCACAAGTACTCCTTTTCTTTTTTTTTAAATTTACATTATTCTCCCAAGTGCATGGTGAGATGATCTTCTGTCGCTAGATTTTCATTTGTTCAGAGCATCCATAATAATACCACTGCCATGGTGCAGATGTCTTGGAACCTGCTTGCCATGGGTGCGGTAGACGCCTGGCTTGACACAACAGCTGTGCTCTTTATGTCCTGGTTCCAAGTGGCTCATCCATTATTATAAATTGCTCTTTGAGGCCCTAAGCCTGCAAGCACTTAAGCCCGTGAGTAGCTCCACTCACTGGAGTACTCCTATTGAACTCAGTGAGACTGCTCCTGTGAACAAAATTGTCTGTGTTACGATTTGTAGGATTGGGCCCTAAACTTGTACAACTGGAAATTATTTGATCACAACGTGAAATCAGCTTAGATAGCGTAGTGCCTTGCTTGCAAATGCATCTTGGGGCACTTTATTGTACCACTTATGCCCAGAGCCTTGTATATAGAAAGCCAAATATTTTCAAAATCAAAGAGTGGTTTCTTCTGTGAATGTAAATACTCTTTAAATATAATAAGGTTGATTTAAAATAGTTGATTCTTAAAGCATTTTCCTGTAAAAATTGTGATAAGATTATTTGTAATATTCTGAATAAAATCATTCTAAAGAGAATTCCAAATACGAAGTGTTGTCCTGGTGTTCTTTTATGCCTTCATGGTTTTTTACTTTATTCATTAACCAGATGAAATATGGACCGTCCAGTGCCGCCTCCTCCCTTTTTCAAACCTTCCAGGCCTTATCATGCTTCATCTCACATGGTATAGTGCCCTTTCTCGTGGATTTCAAGTCAAGTTTGCTCTAAGCAAATGTCACAAGTAGGTCTTCACCAAGGGGAGCATTGTCAGTTTCCACTGCCAAATGAGTGCAGGCTTGCAAAGAGGTGACTGGGATGGAAAGGAATTATGTAACCCATGCCTGCTTGGTGGGTCCTCTGTCCTCCTCTAGTGGCACCTTAGACCATCTAGAGACTGAGTAGTCTGCTACAGCCTTAGCTAAGAGCCAATTGGCTTTTAGCTCATGCAATTGAGGCTCATACACTAAGCTTCAGAGGTCTCAAATTTGATCGCTCGCACCCACCCACCCGCCAACAATTGGGGTCTGTCAGTGTTACAAGAGCAAGAAACTGAACTTTGCCAGGTAAATTCTGTACCAGCCGTTCCTCCACAGATGCTAATTAACCGAGGGTATGTCTATGCTTCGAGCCTGGGATATAATTCCCAAGTCAAGGAGACCTACCCATGCTAGCTGTGATGGAGCCTAGTATGCTCAAAATAAAGTAGTCGGGGTGGTGCAAGCAGTGGGAGGGGCTTGTCACTCCAAGTACATGCCTTGTGTCTCGGAAAGGCATGTCCTCCAGGCAGCTAGCCTTTGTGCCACCAGGGCTGCACTCTGTAGCATGCTAGGTTGATCTTCTCATGCTGCAAATTATACCCGAGCTTAAAATGCAGACAAACCCTAAAAGAGGAAGGAATTTTCTTAAGCTAGAGCAGGAGTGGCCAACCTATGGCTCCGGAGCCACATGCAGCTCTTCAGAAGTTAATATGCGGCTCCTTGGATAGGCACCGACTCCGGGGCTGGAATTACAGAGGCCAACTTTCCAATGTGCCGGTGGGGTGCTCACTGTTCAACCCCTGACTCTGCCACAGGCCCTGCCTCCACTTCAGCCCTTCCAGCCCCCTCCCCTGAACCTGCCATGCCCTCACTTCTTCCCCCCACCCCAAGCCTCCTGCACGCCACAAAATGGCTGATCAGGAGGAGGGAGGGGAAGGTGCTGGTCGGCGGGGCTGCTGGTGCGTGGGAGGCGCTGGGAGTGGGGGGATGATGGGGGGCTTCTGACATATAACTGTGTCTCTTTGGCAATGTACATGGGTAAATTCTGGCTCCTTCTCAGGCTCAGGTTGGCCGCCCTTGAGCTAGAGCATCCGGTCAGGTATGTATACTCTCCACCAACAGATGGCAGCATTTGCTCAGCTCACTGTGTCTATAACAGCAGTTGTTGCTATCTAACTCATCCATTCAGACATTCTAATTATAGCACCCAATAAATCATTAAGAACTTTTCTCAAGGTTCCCATATGCGAGTGTACACGAGCGCATCTGTTGGCCTCATTTCCAGAGGTTCTGAGCAGCCAGAAATCCCATTTAAGTCAATGAGAGGGGCAAGTGGTCAGCACCTTTTGAGAATCAGACCATGTAACTCTATAGTAGGACATAAATGACTCTTTAGAATTGATAAATCTGTATCTCGCATCACCTGTCTCTCTTGCTTTTCTTTCTCTCCTGCACATACCCTTCCCAACCGCCTTTATTTCCCATTCCCACTGCTAGGTTCCTGAACGGATGCTTCCCCATTAGGCCTTTGCTATTGCCATTTCCAGCAAGAGCATCAGTAATTCTAATTTGCTTACAAACTCCACAGATCTCCTGGAAATCTAGCACTGAGATGTACTATACAAAGTCTTTCTGAACTGCTACTGCCATAGTGTATGGCAGTAGTTCTCAACCAGGGGTATGCAGAGGTCTTCCAGGGGGTACATCAACTCATCTAAATATTTGCCTAGTTTTACAACAGGCTACATAAAAAGCACAAGTGAAGTCAGTACAGACTAAAATTTCATACAGATAATGACTTGTTTATATTGCTCTACATACTATACACTGAAATGTAAGTACAATATTTATATTCCAATTGGTTTATTTTATAACAATATGGCAAAAATGAGAAAGTCAGCAATTTTTCAGTAATAGTGTGCTGTGACACTTCTGTATTTCTAGATCTGAATTTGTAAGCAAGTAGTTTTTAAGTGAGGTGAAACTTGGGGGTACTCAAGACAAATCAGACTCCTGAAAGGGGTACAGTAGTCTGGAAAGGTTGAGAGCCACTGGCGTACAGGTCAAAACTAGATGGGTTGTTTCTTGCACAGCCTGAAATAGACAAGTCATGCAAGTTGTTCTACTGAATGGCCAAGATCCCCATCATTTGTCTTTCTGACTCACGCTGTATTATGTTGTACATTTCTTGAAAAGCAGAAATAACTACCAGAAGCCAAGTTAGCTTTTGTTGTTGTCTTTCATATAGTAGAGGAGACTAGGACAGCAGAGGAAACTGGGAATAGCATTGTAGGTGCTGTCACACCCCAGGGTTTGAAGTGGTTTCTATCATATACAGGGTTTACAGTTTGGTTTAATGGCTCTCAGCACCCATAAATAGCATAGACTTTCACCTCTATCATCACTTCACATTTGGACCAGCTTGGTATATGACCAGAAGTTGCAATCTGATGGCTGTTAGGTGGCTGCTACCTGGAAAGGTGGTATCAGAGCAATTCCTAGTAGATAAATGGTGTCTTCACCTTTGAGGAAAAGAAAACCACTATCACAATTGACATCTCTGCTGGCAACTTAGTAGGAAGGCCAAAAACTGAAGAGCCATGGAAACTGAACTACCTTTCCCCAGAGAGGAAAAAGACACCAAAATTAGATTTATTCACCATTAGATTCAGTGTTTTAAAAAGATGTCAGATTTGGGTCCTTAAATATTTAAACTAGGGTTGGTTACCTGGTGTGTGTTTAGATGCTGTCCTGTTACAACATAATTACTCGCAAAAAGAAAAGGAGTACTTGTGACACTTTAGACACTAACAAATTTATTTGAGCATAAGCTTTTGTGAGCTACAGCTCACTTCATCGGATGCATTCAGTGGAAAATACAGTGGGGAGATTTATATACACAGAGAACATGAAACAATGGGTGTTACCATACACACTGTAAGGAGAGTGATCACTTAAGAGGAGCTATTACCAGCAGGAGAGTGTGGGGGGGGGGGGAGAAAACCCTTTGTAGTGATAATCAAGGTGGGCCATTTTCAGCAGTTGACAAGAACGTCTGAGGAACAGTGTGGGGTGGGGAAATAAACATGGGGAAATAGTTTTACTTTGTGTAACAACTCAATCACTCCCAGTCTCTATTCAAGCCTGAGTTAATTGTATCCAGTTTGCAAATTAATTCCAATTCAGCAGTCTCTCATTGGAGTCTGTTTTTGAAGTCTTTTTGTTGTAATATTGCGACTTTTAGGTCTGTAATCGAGTGACCAGAGAGATTGAAGTGTTCTCTGTCTGGTTTTTGAATGTTATAATTCTTGACTTCTGATTTGTGTCCATTTATTCTTTTACATAGAGACTGTCCAGTTTGACCAATGTACATGGCAGAGGGGCATTGCTGGTACATGATGGCATATATCACATTGGTAGATGTGCAGGTGAATGAGCCTCTGATAGTGTGGCTGATGTTATTAGGCCCTATGTTGGTGTCTCCTGATTAGATATGTGGACACAGTTGGCAACGGGCTTTGTTGCAAGGATAGGTTCCTGGGTTAGTGGTTCTGTTGTGTGGTGTGTGGTTGCTGGTGAGTATTTGCTTCAGGTTGGGGAGCTGTCTGTAGGCAAGGACTGGCCTGCCTCCCAAGATCTGTGAGAGTGATGGGTCGTCCTTCAGGATAGGTTGTAAATCCTTGATGATGCGTTGGAGAGGTTTTAGTTGGGGACTGAAGGTGACAGCTAGTGGCGTTCTGTTATTTTCTTTGTTGGGCCTGTCCTGTAGTAGGTGACTTCTGGGTACTCTTCTGGCTCTGTCAATCTGTTTCTTCACTTCCGCAGGTGGGTATTGTAGTTGTAAGAATGCTTGATAGAGATCTTGTAGGTGTTTGTCTCTGTCTGAGGGGTTGGAGCAAATGCGGTTGTATCGTAGAGCTTGGCTGTAGACAATGGACCGTGTGGTATGGTCTGGATGAAAGCTGGAGGCATGTAGGTAGGAATAGCGGTCAGTAGGTTTTCGGTATAGGGTGGTGTTTATGTGACCATCGCTTATTAGCACCGTAGTGTTCAGGAAGTGGATCTCTTGTGTGGACTGGTCCAGGCTGAGGTTGATGGTGGGATGGAAATTGTTGAAATCATGGTGGAATTCCTCAAGGACTTCTTTTCCATGGGTCCAGATGATGAAGATGTCATCAATATAGCGCAAGTAGAGTAGGGGCGTTAGGGGACGAGAGCTGAGGAAGCGTTGTTCTAAGTCAGCCATACAAATGTTGGCATACTGTGGGGCTATGCGGGTACCCATAGCAGCGCCGCTGATTTGAAGGTATACATTGTCCCCAAATGTGAAATAGTTATGGGTGAGGACAAAGTCACAAAGTTCAGCCATCAGGTTTGCCGTGACATTATCGGGGATAGTGTTCCTGACGGCTTGTAGTCCATCTTTGTATGGAATGTTGGTGTAGAGGGCTTCTACATCCATAGTGGCCAGGATGGTGTTTTCAGGAAGATCACTGATGGATTGTAGTTTCCTTAGGAAGTCAGTGGTGTCTCGAAGATAGCTGGGACTGCTGGTAGCGTAGGGCCTGAGGAGGGAGTCTACATAGCCAGACAATCCTGCTGTCAGGGTGCCAATGCCTGAGATGATGGGGCATCCAGGATTTCCAGGTTTATGGATCTTGGGTAGCAGATAGAATACCCCAGGTCGGGGTTCCAGGGGTGTGTCTGTGCAGATTTGTTCTTGTGCTTTTTCAGGGAGTTTCTTGAGCAAATGCTGTAGTTTCTTTTGGTAACCCTCAGTGGGATCAGAG